TGCTATAATATAGATTATAGTAGATTGTGACATAATATAGATTAATAGAGTAGTTGTGACAATAATATAGTATTATAGGAGTAGTTGTAGACAATAATATAGGATTTAACGGAGAGTTGTGCCAATAAATATAGGATTTAACGGAGAGTTGTGCCAATAAATATAGGATTTAACGGAGAGTTGTGCCAATAAATATAGGATTTAATGGAGAGTTGTGCCAATAAATATAGGATTTAATGGAGAGTTGTGCCAATAAACATATGATTTCGTGCCAAATAGGACAGAATTTGATGAATAGTTGTGCCAAAGAAAAATAGGGTTTGATGGATAGCTGTACCAAGAAAAATAGGATTTGGTGAATAGTTGTGCTACATAGGATTTGGATTTGGATGCTACTGGTGCCAAGTGGGAAAGAATATGGTAGAACACTGCAAAAAAAAAAAGAGAAAGCTAAAAGAATTTTGTACGAAACAAGAGAAGTATAAAAGGATTTTGTGGAACACTGATACAAAACAAATGAAGTGTAAAATGATTTGATGGAACACTAGTACAAAAAGAAGTATAAAAGGATTTGGTAGAACACTGGTGCGAAACGAATGAAGTGTAAAAGGATTTGATGGAACACTAGTACAAAAAAGTGCAAAAGGATTTGGTGAAATACTGGTGCAAAACGCATGAGTAAACCGTATATGAAAACCTGAAGCTGCATACAGCACTAGGAATATACATATACTTGAAGGTCTTTACAGTCAGAACTTCTGCTATAAGAAGTTTTTCAGTATAACTTTAAACTTAATAAAACTACCTTTTTATCAATTTGCTGATACTAATTATCTTCTTAAGTCAGTGCTAAAGGTTTGTATTATACAACACTGGAAATGTTATAATAACAGAACTTTCCTGTAAGTAAGTATTACCATTAGAGTTCTCAACCATTCATGAAAACTATTTTATCCATCGCAGTATCACTAAGTGAAGCATGTGATGCAGTTGTCAACCGTAAATAATTTGCCAAGAACATATATAAACAGACAACGTTTTTTTTATATTCAATGATTCAAACTATCAACTTGGGAAGACCGTATCTACATTCGACAACAATGCTACTATGTGCAATACACAAAAACATATGGATATCAGATTTCTTGCTTTACTTACTTTTATACGTTTGACTTCCAAAATAAGTATCTGTAACATTAATAATTGGACGTAATAGCTAGGAAGTTAAGGAAACCTACGATTCACTGCCTACATTGGGACAGCTAAAAACCTTTATTTCACAAAATGAAAATATATTCAAAAACACTTATCTACTTATTTCAAATTTATTCGATGGAGCACTTTACAGTTAAAAAGAAAGATTTTCATGTTTGATTACGTAACTTAGCTAAAGCATGCGTAGTTTCTATCAGCGTTATTACTTAGCATTGCTCTCTAAAGATTTCTAGACTGTACTCGGTTACGTTTATCTACAACAGTTGAAGAAAAGGTTTCTTCAAACACCTATATAATTATGTGTCTAAATAACTGTGTCGTAACTACACATGTTTGCGCTAAATTTTCGAAGACTTTGTATGACGAGAAGTTTATCTCATACATTTTTTAATTGTTTTTTTTTTTGTTTCAGAATTTTCGTTCAGAACCACACAAACTAAAGACCTACTTGCATATAGCCGTCTCTATCTTTGAGCTGATAGACTAGAGGGGAGGCAGCTATTCACCCGCATCCACCGCTAACATTTAGGCTACGCTAATCTGACGAATAGATTTGATCATCATTCTTATTGCGCACGCATGGTCAGAAGTGCACGAACCATGAATCCTCAAATTCACTCTCCATGCACACTAACTACTAAGTCATACTTGGCCCATGTATTTGGGAAGATTATAATTTTTTCAAGATATTGACCAACAAATCAAGCACTAAAAATTAGTCTTTATCCTTGATAACTATACTCAAGTCATTTGGGGGGGGGGGGAAGCTCATTGAAAACAAAATATGATTTAAATCTCCTGTGCTACCTTTAGATAATTTCTAGTGAAGCTAATATTGCTAGTAGAGTCACGACAAACTAAGAACTTACATGGCATCGTTTAATACTGGAATAGGTGGTAAGTGTTGAGTACCTGTAATAACACCTGTTGATACCGTAGTGGCGATAAAGAATCCTAGTAGCACTGGAAGTCCCCATCGTAGGCCCCTGTCGGCGAAAAAGTTAATGATGAAATGGTTCATACAAGATGCTTAAACAAGGCAATCATGTTAAATAAATAGATAGAAAATTCAACTGCCATAAGAAAAACATTCATGGACAGAATTTAAAAACTTATTTTCTTATAATAGATAAGATCATGTCATGTCTGTACTTTTGTCGTGTGAGCTTCTTTTCTAATAACCCACAACAATTAAATATAACTGACTGACCTCAAAGGATTTCCTGCATACGGGTAAAGTTATAGTTTCCCGGGTTTTTAAAGCATATTTCAACTTCTGTACATTTAATTTACTAAAAAAATACTCTATAATGATAGATTTTGATTATCGTGTAATTAATATAATTTTATATTTTGATAATAATTATAAACATTAAAATTTGATGAACATACCTGTAAAGTGGATAAATAATTAACGGAGAGATAATATACAATTGAAAGTCCACTGCAGAATACCACGTATGGCTCAGGCACTGGAAGAAAGAGATTAAAACAACACTGGGTCATTAGCGCCTGTAATACGTGTTTCGCAGCATGACAAAGCAGTATGGCGGTGTCAGTAGGCATTTCTAAGGCAGTGCTTTACAGCAACTACATTACAAATATATCTTAAGAACATAATATTTTAAAAATGAATAAGATATTTCTTGTTAATATACAATACTGTTCAATAAAATAACATTATTTCTGTTACTCGTATCAATTATTAGTTATGAAATCTAAATGTTTTGTCTGCTAAATTCAGATAATGAATTACAAATCTCAAACTTAGGTTATTTCTGTATGAAAGAAGAATAATTTTCAAGTAAACCTATGCATTACGAAAGCTTCTTAACCTAAATAAGATGAGAAATATACATTATACATGATAGAAAGGTGGAGACGAAAACATACCGTTCTGGTGATGGTCACATTGCCAGGAAAATTTTATAACCAACGGCTTATAATGGACAGATAATACATTTAAAGTAATTTTATTTACATTTTCAGTGACGTATCTATTGTATAAAGTTGAGTGACGGTAACAAAGCTATTTCTTACGATATTTACATGTGTAATTTTCATTACACTCCTATTGCCTAAACTTGACGCACTGTCAGAAAGCTATTTCTTACCGTATTTCAATGTTTATTTTTTCATTACACTTCTATAGCATAAAGTTGAGGAGCTTTATAAAGCTATTTCATGTGTAATTTTCATTACACTCCTATTGAATAAAGGTGAGATACTTTAACAAAGCTGTTTCTTACTACATTTTCATGTGTAATTCTGTTGTATTACGTCGTCAAGATATTAATGTCGCTTTTTTTTAGATGAAAAAACCCGAACAACTTCCACATTTGCATACGTTTTCCCATTAAGATGGTGTTGCAGCGAACGAAAAAGATGATAATCTGATGGTGCAATATCTGGAGAATATGGTGGGTGGGGGAGAACTTCCCAACCCAACTCCATAAT